TGGGGGGAGAGGCTGGGGGGGGGGGAAGAGACTGGGGGGGCTATAGCACGCGGTTCTAGAAGCAGTCGTGATTTTATATTTCTTTTCGACCAAAATGGCGGATAAGTCCTTTTGTTTTTTTATGATTATTATTTTAAAGATAACGAAAAATCAACTTACATACAAATTCCTCCACCTTCCTTCCACCTACGGGATTGAACTGTTGTCTTGAAAATCACCAATGTACAACTAYTAATTGTTCTACGTCCGCGTTGACATCTTCTGTTGTTTTTTTTGTTTTTTGTTTTTTTTGTTTGTTTTTTTTTGTTTGTTTTTGTTTTTTGTTTTTTTGTTGTTTTTTTTTTTGTTTTTTTTGTTTGTTTTGTTTTGTTTTTTTCATTCCACGCCTCCTCCACTACTATTTTTGGTCACGTTAATGGTGTTTCATTTAAAAATAACAGTTTCAAAAATATATTTTATTATTTCTGCATCATCCTTTATTTCATCATCATCTTGATATACTTTTTACGCTTCCCACGCCTCATTCTCAACTATTTATGCCGCATCTTATTTATTCTCGTTCGCGTGGGATCGTTATGGTTTAAGATATTTCCTTTGTAAAAGGCCAAGTTTCTAAGCTAGATTCAGGATAATGATTTATGGTGATTTATGATATATATAGCGCCCTTTCTATATGGATATAAAGGCGCTTTACATTGATTTGTGAATGACAGATTGCTTTTATGATGATTAGTATGAAGGTCTTGGGATACGTCCTTATCCTTCCTGGCTTACTTTCGCTTAAGAAAACCGATAGAGTTGCTCGTAAATTCCTTTTTCTTGAATACAGCGATCTGTTGATTTGACGGCGCCATCTTCAATTCATATTATTATAGTAAATGCCGCTGATTAATGGCGGTCTCACGGAAGTCAACACATATTTCATTTTGACCACTTTAAAAGGCGGTCCCGTCTCTTCACACTCATCATTACTAACAAACATCGGAGGGGCGTAAAAGAACCACTGAGAACGTAAAGAAACCCTGGTAGTGACCACCCTCAGTGCCTACACTTCATACTTCGCACACAGAAAGTGGACATTCGGTGCTTTTCTATTTGTGAGGATTGAATGGTTTTAGAGCGTTATCATTGCCAAAAAGCAAACATAAATTAATCGCTAAACTGGCCAAGTCTTTGGAAATGGATTTCGAGGTTAGTGTATTTTCTAAATTCAACACGGCAAATTGAATACAGGCATCTGTATTTCGATAATTAGTCTTGGTACTTCGCACTTTCGCGTGTTTATCCAAATGTACAGAGCAAGTGGAAACGTTTCTACGCCGAAAGAATATTTTGAAAAGTGAACATAGAAACATTTCTTTTTGGCATTTTATGAGCCAGACAATAGCATAAGGAGTAGTTAAATGTTATTCTAACCCGGCAAATGAATTTTCTTCAAAAAGTATACTTTTATTTGTTCTTATTCGATCGCTCCCCTCTCAAGCCTTGGTATTGTTATTTGCCATATTGATATTCAATGACGGATGGCCGCTGCGTCATCGCGGGCTCAATGTCCTCTAGATGACAATGAAATATGGAAATAAAATTGATGGCCACTCGAACGACAACTTTATTTGGAATTTGATATGCTAATACATGTGACCTTCGACGGGAGACCAAGTACCCTAAGCATTGCTGGTCTTTCGTAAAAGCCTTGTGTTCACAGAGTTCCTGTCCTAATATTATACGGTACAAACCGAACATTGTGACAAGCAGAGATAAAGAACCAATGGCAAGTTCCTTCTAACATTCCGTTTTTAAGCCAGCTACGAATGACAAGGCCTGCAGTCTTTATCTAGCTGTGGTCAGCGGTTATCCAACATATAGCTACCTTTCATTATCAGAAATGGCCAAGGTCTTGGGAAACCTCGATCCAATTAACGGCAGGTCTAAAACGCTGACTGGAAAAAAGCCGACTGGAAAACGCCAAGCGGATAAACACCGACTTCAAAAATAATTTTAAAAAATATGGATTTTTTAGACAGGCTTTTCAATTCCATTTATGACCTATCTATACTCGATAAAACTTAATGAAAGCTAAAAGTTATTACAGCCATTCCCAATCACTGCACGCGCCCATCTCACTTCTGTCCAAAATACTCGAACACCTTAATTGTATAGAACCTCTGAAGAACGCTTGTCAAAGACATAACTTCTTCAGGTACATCAGATAATCCTCAGCGAGTTAAACTCGACTTCCTTTCTGAAAATCCTAACAACAATAACTTCAATTTGATATACATGAAATATCGCTATTCATCGATCACCGGAAGTATACAACTGTTCCTCAGCTCAATGGAATCAAAATGAAATCATGCCGAAGGCGCCTCTGGAAGCCGCGCGCTATACAGTCCATGTATGACTCGTAGCACAGCTCTAATTAATTTAAAGCATTTAAGGTTGATGAAGAGGAGGGAGGAAAACCGAAAGAACGGAAGGACCCTTGGAATCTGAAAGAGAACCAATCAAACGACTCATTTCATTGCGGGCGGAATTCAGAGGCGAGAGGCGTTTTATCACCACTTCAACCTGACACCTCAGTTTACTTCCAAATAATGTAAGATCAAATAAAGTATTCTTATCTCAAAAATGTGCAAATAAATGTATAAATTAAGAATTAATAGCAATTATAATTCTTTCAATGAATTGAGCATAATGCATTGTCTTTGACTGAAAAAAAATCCTTGTTGACGTTCACGACCTGATGTACGAGTCAGCGGCAGAAAGAAGATGTACCGGGGAAAAAAAAAAACACCAGAAAAAGTTGGTTACACTACAAAAAGTGTCCTTCAGTTCCGTTAAAAACACTTAATAGAAAATGCATTCATTTACAATAATATAGATTTCCTAAAAAAATGTCGATAAGAAAATGAGAGTCTCCATTTTTTTGTATTCAGAGGTTTTGACCAAGAAAAAAAACCTTGTTGGTTTATGTCTATACGTTTTAATATTCAAGGCTAAGATATTTTTATAAAAAACACGACACTAAGGCCCAGGGCAAACGTCGAACTAACCATGATCTTAATTTAGTCGAACCTATTACATTTGAAATAGTCTCAAGCCTAGTACGACTTTTGCTGCAATTGAGAACGACCCTATTGAATAGGTTCGAGTCCAGCATAAGTTCRACAAGCCAAGTCCGACATTTAACGACTCTGGAGCGACTTTGCGGCAAACGCCGTTTTAAACACATGCCGAACTGAATTCATAAAATATGCAAAATAGTAAATAAATCATGCAAGTCGCATGAGTTACACCAAAGCCGTGAAAACAACCACTCCTCCACCTCCCAAACACTCATCCCCCCCACCCCCTTGGTGAGCATGCGCTATACAAAGATAAGTGATGAACGAGACCGAGGAGCTCTGGATACGAAAATAAATTCAAAACTACTCAAACTGAACATGTCCGCGTTTAGAAAATCCTTGCCACGAGAGTCTTGAGTCTCGTAGTTTTTGTTTTGACCAAACGAAATTTGTTTGCCTGGTTTRTGAGATGCCGACCTGCAATAAATGTGGTGTATCCGAGAGCAACGAAGATGAGCCTGGCAGGACGGCGGGCAAAAGCGTTGCGTATTGTGAATGCTGCGAGAGAGGGRAAAAAAGAATGAAAAACGTACAGGTTTTAATTGTGGTCGAGCGCTATATTTCGCCATTACAAGGATATGCATTAATCCGGAAAAGACAAACAAATGTCCGTGCGACCCCCGTGCATTTTCATGTCCAATTAAAATAATAATAACAATGGGTGAGTGAATTAAGATCAACATTGGTTCGACGTTTGCCGCCACGTAGGCCCATAGTCGACCTTCCACTGAACCTATGTTAAATAGGTTCGGTACGACGTTAGTCCGACGTTTGCCCTGGGCCTAAGATATTTTGTTCTCAATATAAAAGAGGGCTAAATTTGCATTAAAATTTTACGGCCAGCGGCGGAAGCAAGAGTAGCGTAGCGGTGTGTGCGCTCGCCTCTCATCAATGCGACCCGAGTCCAAGTCCCGCCGTGTTCGGTGTTGTATATGAGTAGAGTCATGTGTTGGTTCTCTCCTGTGCTTCGAGGGTTTTCCGGGTTTTCCGGGTTTTCCGGGTTCTTTGGTTTTCCTCCCTCCGCAAAAATCAACTCATAAATTCCAATTCGATCATGGAATGAGGGCCACAGTTTTGTTAGCCACTGGCTCTTAAGTGCTACCCTCATGAAAAAAGGACGTTTTTTGAACCGCTCGTGCCAGGATGCGACGTCAAACAAAAGTTCCATGAAACCTCGATCCCATAACAAGAAATATGACACCCACAATTCACAAGGTGCTTAATTATGTAGTATAAACCTTATCCCCATAGTATTTTATCTGCCAAATTTTCTTTAAAGGCGTTACTGCATTTCTTTCCAGTTTATGTTTTAGATTTGTACGTGTGCCGCTACTCAGTGAAGGAAGGTAAAAAAAGATGCGAAATCAGGTAAGGCAACCAATGCAAACTGTCCATAAATGCAACTTTGTATAGGAAACCGCACGATCTCGAGTACAATTCGGAATTTATAGTTACGATTTTGTTGTTGTTGTTGTTGTTGTTTTTTTTGTTGTTTTTTTTTTTTGAAGGTTATCAAAATTTTGGACGAGCCTTTTAGGCAAGTCCAATTTGAGAATTTTCAAAACGTTACGAGTTTCTCGTAAATCCCTGTTTCAAATTTTGATTTTGAATTGAATTGAATTGTAGGTAGCATTTGTTGTGTATGCCATCTTCCTCTTTGTGGTAATAACAATAACGCAAGCAAGACCAAGCAAGAGAAAAGAAAATATCAAAGCTCTACAAAGGAAAGTCCAAAGTCTGATGCATCCTTGCGATACTGCTCCAAGAGGCACTGTTATCCACACTTTGAATGGGGACATCATATGTTTGCAAAAAACCGAACAGGAGCTGCAGAGGCAGTTAGAACAAAATGGCGGTTACAATCGACGTTACGCTGCTGCAACTTTAGCTGAGGCTAAGAAAAACTTCAAAAATATGTTTAAAATCTATGGAAGAGAGTATGAAAACACAACCGATTGGCAGAGATGGCGAAACTCTGATATTCTTAAACATGATAAAGGCAGTTTTGTTGAAGAACATCTACAAAGAGAAGGGATGATCAGTGGCAGAATCAGTAGATTTGGAAATTATGGTGATACCAGGCAACGAAGATCAAATGATGATTCTGAAATTATGAAAAGGGGGGATCCTGGAATCAATATTCAATGTCTTCCCGGTGGAAGAGAAACGGAGAAAGGTACTGTGCAGTGTCATTGTAATACTCGTATGATAATGAAGTTCCAAAGCAGGTAGTCGTGCGTGACAATATGTTGTCGGAAAGCAAATCAGAATGAATAATTCAAATCTTGGTAGCAGAAAAGCTGACTCAATCAAAGATTCTGTACACACGAGTTTCACACCATTCAGAAATTACTTCATTAAAACATTTTTCCAGAAAAAGTTTGTTAAATTTGAGCGATAACCAAAAACATTTTTTGTAAATTAGCAGCAGCCATTTATGAAAGTCGTGTATTACACTTGTTTAACTGACTGTAAGTTACTAACATTAGCAAAACAAAAGCATATAAAACTGGAGTTTCTACTTATATACTTATCATTATGTAATCTGTTGTAACCAGGTTTTTTTTTTTTTTTTTGCTTTGTCTTTCTTTGATCTCGTTATGCTACCTATATGTAATACATTTTCCCAACCCTTTTCTTTCAAATATTTCCGCTTATTTATCTTGGTGAGAAGATGCATCTATAGTGTCAATGAAATAAAAAAGGAATCTCATTCAAAGCTAGATAATTGAATCAGTAAAAGCATGAACGAAAGTAAAATGTCATATTTGTCATATTAATTCTTGTGATTTTTTTTTCTTTCTTTTATTTATTTTGTATAGGTATTCATTTATGTCCCGCCTGCCAAAGATGCACTGAGCTCTCAAAAGATTTCTTCCCTCGGTATATCAACGAACTGACATGTAAAGACTCGAAAAGTGGAAACTCATCACAAGTAGGATGCTATTTATCTAATAATTTCCAGATAGGCACTTGTCAGCAGATCAAGATGACCACAGATGTTTTGATACACAAAAATGGAAAGTTTACTATTGTGTATCAGAACGAGACTTTCAAAGAGTTCAAAGAAGTGTACGAGCCTTATAGTCTTAAAGTTAGAACCTGCTGCGAGTGCATGGTGTTTTCGAGTAAGTCTTTCTTTCAATATTCTAGTTACGTTTAATTTCGATGGTCAGGAGACCCTTTACTTTGCTCGTAATATATGGTTTAACATTTCAGGTCATGAGATTATTCTCTAGATCTTGCCAATAAGATTATTTATTTGAGTTGTATCCACACTTATGTCAGTGTCTTCTTATAAGCAACCATTGTACAAACAAATGATATCCTAGCCTGAATTTAAAAGCGGTAAAATATAGGAAACAATACGTCCAAGGTAAAGAGGTCTTTTGGCAGAATTATTATAAATAATTAATTTATTAGTTTAGACGGTTGAGCATCGGGATCAGGATGTAGTGCAGGAGATACGATGAACCAGTTGAACTGATTTAGAGTATTTAGAAAAATTCCGCCTCTACGTATTACTCAACCTGGTAAAGAGATCTTATTTCTAACAGGCTTATCGCCACCCGAGACATTTTTTTTTATACCGCGGTACGGCGGCCATCTTCAATTCTTATTGTTTTTTATGGGATGCATAGAGGGAACAACGATTGCACAGCTGTCAGGGTTACTTTATATATAACTTTMCACTTTCCACTAAGAAGAATATATAGAAAAGAGGCTTCAAAATGTTTCAAAAATAACCCTAACACGTTATGCTTTATAAATTTCTTATTTCTTATAATATTTTCTTACATCCCATAATTTCAAGATGGTCGTTTTATCAGTAAAAAAGGGAGACATCTTAGAATACATTCATAGAATACTGGATATCAATCCAATTTACTGATAATTTTATCGTGATTTAAAAAATTAACTATACATTCACGTAATCATGTTCCTTCAGTCCTTCATCAACTCCACTGAAACTAATAAAGTTGGTTTTTTTTTCAGAACTTGCAGGTCAATAAAACTGGCGGCTCTCACTAAACTGATATATGGAGGATAATTTTCTGGAATTATATCATTTATGCAAGTTATTTTTAATGTTAGACGAGAAAAGTAAATTATTTTGAATTTAAAGAATTGAATTAAAATAAATTTAAAACTGATTATGTTTCCTTGTTTTCAGTAATACTTTTAAGTTAAAACACTACATTACATTATCACTGCAAGGCACAATACATTAGCAGTGTATTTCTCTTTGGCATAGCATCAGATAGATAGATACACTTTATTTACTGGGAGCAACCGTAATTACAGAAAAAACTGTACTCTCCCTTACTACCCTAAGCATTTTTATTTTTTT